TTTGTTTTTACGTTACATAATCTTATAATGTACTAAATCGCAATTCGTCACGAGCGTTCATAAAACAAACAATTATCACTTCTCGAAATGAATTTAGTAATTAGGCATCGGTCTTTATTCGGAAATTCATTATACCAGATAAATCTCTACGATGAACGTAAATTATCGTTATGTGTAAATATGATATAAAGTATGCAAATTATCATGATGTATTCATCCAAAAAAACTGTGAATTAATGGGGTGTGTGTTATTATGAGATCGGAAAAGTCATCTTGTAATCACCTACATCACAATACCCGCATATTGGCACAACTTGTTTAATAAAACTTGTTACATGTAGTCTAATTAACGTTATTTTAATACCAAATTTTCCCTCAATCACATTACCGTAAGCCCAACGTTTATAACGATAGCAAATAGAATTTTTTAACCACGGAGAATAGACTTTCTATTTCCAGTTATATTTTCTTCTCTCTATTATTGTCGTTGATAATGGGACAGAACGCTTCCTCAACTTCAAAAAGAAATGAAAATAAGGCATATATTCAATTTTTTTTGTTTTAAAGTGAATCATGCACATTTGATAATTGTAAAAATATACGAGAAGAGAAAAAAGTCATTTGACTTTTTGATAATAATTTAAATCCAGATAATGAGAAATATATATATAATTATCTTAATGTTATCTATATAGAACTCCTATGAAAACAAAAGTTCGACTACGCAAATTGATTTTGATAACTTGACAAAAAGAATTGTCGAGCTCAAACTCGGAAATGAAACTGTATATTCAATTTAACTTTTTGTGTTGACGCCTTCTCAATTTAAAATTCTATCTCTATTAGAAATTACCACTATTCAAAGCTAAATTCACTCGAATTCAGCTTGGAATAGTGGCAATCTCTAATTTCTATTAACAGAAGGTTATCTTTGATTATTAGAAACGAACCTCTTTCCTTTATCAGCATCTAAATAATGAATCTAAAGAAAATGACGCAAAGAAAAAGGTTAATTGATTTGGCCGTTCTTTGATTTCCTATCAAAGAAAAATTGATATATTGTCTTAATTTATCATTAGACGTCCTCGGATACACGACGACATCCTTCTATTCCTGTAAGTGAAAGAAATTTTTCTCTGGCATTCCCAGATATAATCTAAATCCAATTATAATGAATATTAATTTATAAATTATTCAAGCATGCCAAATAACATTAGCTTCACTATAATACTGAATTTTAATAAGACTTGCCTGCTCTAATCAGTTTAAAAATTGATTTTTAACAGAATACATCATTCTCGGTGCAAATTTTCGAAAAAGATCACGAGAGAGAGAGAAGAGAGGAAAAAGAGAAAGAGATGAGAGAGATGATAGAGAGAATGACAAGAGAGAGAGAGAATAGAGACAGAGAGAAAAAAGAGAGAGAGATGATGGAGATGATGGAGAGAGAGAAAAAAGCGAGAGAGATGCAAGAGATGATCGAGAGAGAGAAAAAAGCGAGAGAGATGAAAGAGATGATAGAGAAAGAGAGAAGAGAGAGAGAGACGAAGAGAATTGTAAGCTATAATTGATTCAAAATACAGATACAGTATTTATTTTATTGTAAATGACATCATCGGTTTGTTTTTTAGATTTTCCTTCTATCGCTATATAGGAATAGGGTATCTTAATTTTTCATATACTTTACATTACCATATACATGTATTTACGTATATCAAATTTTCACGTTAAGATCTCGTCGTCGTCAAATATGCGTGAATTTACACGGAATGTGAGTCATTCATTAAACCATTTTTCAAATTCAAGGAAGCATTCCTTTTAAATACGTATTAATATCCCTATAGATGAAGGATATTATTAAAATTTTGACCGACGATATGCTTGGACATGTGTATAACAAAATATACGGTAATTGGGTATGCTGTGATCGGAAACATTGTTATGAAGAATGGCAAGATAAAAAACGGAACTATATAGAATGGCAAAAAGAATTCACCACGAATCAACTTAAAAATTCTCTTGAAAAAACGCCAGAAGAAATGACAGTTTTTTTTGTCGAATTTTGTAAAAAATGCTGCATATACACGCGCATGTATAACGATAATCCTAAAATAATCTCCAGTTTTCGTTTATATCAATATCTACTGCCGTCAACGCCAACAACGAACGTAAGTAATTCAATGAGGTTACGTAATGAATTTCTTTTGTTTTTAATTAATCTTTCTAATTAGGAAAAGCCCGACCTCGAGATTATTGTTCATCTAGTATGGAACAACTTTTACAGAGTATTCGGTTATTGGAAATGTTCATATTGTGGTAAATCGTGGTGCAGTGCTTATGCCTGGATATCACTTGAAAAATATATTTATCAAACTGAAGGAACAAAATTGGAAGCAATACGCGATTTTTATGCGCAAAAATGCAAAAGATGTAACAAAAGCAAGATAGAGAGCTATATTACGCGTTACGAGCCTCTCGAATATTCGCCAGATGGATCCGTACATAAAGAAAGTTTATGTGCTAAGTGCCAAAGTGGTTCTCCTTGTCATTTAACTGGCACTTACTTTGGTTATAATTCTAGATGAAATATTAAATATTAGATCACTTTAAATGATTTTTTCATATTGATATATATTATTTTTTATTTCATATTTGTTTTAAATAAATAACGATGTATATTTGTGAAAGCGATGTCCAGTATAGAATTCTTGCTTGCGGAAAAAACATTTTTTTGTGCATGTGCGAAATGATATACTTTATTAGATGTGACGTTGATCGATCATTATATTTTTATTAAAAACAACATGCGACTTATATTTTTCATGCAATATTAATTACGCAACTTTTTGTCGATGTTCCAAAATGGCTTCGTTGAAAATATATCAAAAATATTTCGGAAGCGAAATCATTCGAAATCAAACAAAAATGAACGAAAAAATTGCATATAGAGGAAAATAAATGTCAATTCAAATCGGGTCGTTACAATTCTTTCGGTTTATTATAAATGACTTGTTAAATCGGAACGTGCAATAGAATTTTTACCTTTGAAACATTCATCAGAATTTTTTAAGTTTAAAAGAAATGATAAAGCAGTATTGAAGAAAATTTCAACTGGAATTGACTTAATGTAATATTTTATTCGATTGATTGATCCGTTAAAGCGGAGTAGTATCACGTGTGACCAATCCTAATTGTAGCATACAAATTTAACCGTGTTAAAAAAAACAAATACATGTAACTCGAAATTTTACATGTATTATTGCATATTGATACTTTCATCGCTGATTTTGGTCTTACCGACTCAGCAGATATAATATTTCCTTATATATGTATGAGTCCAGAAGCACTAAATGGAAAGCGATACATAAAAGCTGCAGATATTTATAGGTTTGTGATGGTTTGTTCAAGATAAAATGATGTGGAGTTGTGATAGAGATCTCGTATGCAACATCTATAAAGGAGTACGACTTATGATACCATATAACAGACCGACCGCTAAGGAGCTTAATCATTTTATCAGATCTAACGATGATGATGATGACGACAAAGGCATCAAAGATGGGACAAAAATGATGAGGATGACGACGAAAATGACAACAACAACGATTTGCATTTCCATTCTACAGCTCTTCAGAAATTCCTAAAAAACATAAACAAATTAAAAGAATGTCTGTGATTAGAAAAGTTCAAGTAGATAAACTTGATGAAGAGATGAAACATTCCTACGAATATAGACAAAAAACAACAAATCACATCTAAACGCAGTTTATAACAATATCATTCCAACTGATACAGGTACTTTTATTTATATATTCATCAAAATGACATTTTTCTACAAACATTCCAAATGAAGATAAATTTATATTTGATATTATTTTCATTATTTCTTTAATTAAAAAACAGATTTCGATATTGGTATACCACAAGAAATCGAGGTGAAACACAGATTTAGATATTAACGTTAGCCGATTTTACAACAAATCAAAAATGGTTTTAATTTTCTTTGTGTTTACGCGTATTACTTAACCATTACTTTTATCAGTATTTCGAATACAAAACCCTATTTTTCTGAAATGATAATTTATCCTCCGTTGTCAAAATCGCGAAAATATCTAATTTTATATGTTGATCAATGATTATTTTGGCCAATCTCATTAAAATCACCACATCGTTAAGTCAAGTTTTGACTGTATATTGTTTTCGAAATTTTTTTCATTTGTTGACAGATAGTTCAATTAAATCTTATGACATCTAGTTGTTATATAACGATAACGCGCGAATTTACTAAAACCATTTTATAAAATGTCCTCTAACAAAATTTTGACATAAGAAATTAAATTCATATAATGCAAACATTGGTGTTGTGTTAAAATCGTCAAAAGAAATTAATCAGAGTTCATAAATGAAACATTTCTAAAGTAAATAGATGTGGCTCACAATATTATTTTAACCAAAAACGAATACTTAATAGTAATGGATAGAGTATAGATCCGAATCCGACTTAACCGTTCAGATGTCACTAATAAAGATTGATTGACACACAAAAACGGAGCAAATAGGATACAGACCAACATACGAGGAAAGATAGAAAGTATAAAGACACATGAATTCTGCTTTGCAAGCATGCCTACCGAGTTGTTATCGGTAGATAAATGGAAAATGGACTACCCAAATTCTTCGAATGCTATACGTGTACGTGTACATTTATATGGATAAATTAACTATAATTTATGGCTCTGCATATACCAATTATCTGTTGTAATAGAACGGAAGATACATGTAATAAGGTGCATACCTTCATTACATGTATTGTCACAGGTAAAGCGTATGTGAGTTGATTTGATGAATTTTCCTGCGACAAAGTCTGGCGAATAATTAGGCTAATTATACTTGCTAGTATCTGTGCCAATATCGTTTAATAGATTGGATAGATGGCGATGGGAGAATGTTTCAGGATTAGATAAGATAATTCGAGGAGAGAGGAAGATTATGAGAGATAATTGTTTGTTTTATGAACGCTCGTGACGAATTGCGATTTAGTACATTATAAGATTATGTAACGTAAAAACAAA